GGAAAGTGAAGATAGTTCAGATGGTACATTAGTTATCGATGAACCCAACTATGATAATCAAACAATTGAAATATTAAATAATTCAGATTCAGACATCGAAGTTGTTGAATTAGATGATGATACAGAAGATAACTCAGATGTGGAAATTGTTGAAATCGACAATCACATAAAGAATACTTCTACTTCATTGAATCCTCCAGATTTATCCACAAAAMACAGTTTAACATGTAAGCAATGCTCTAGAATATTTACTACTAACAATGCACTACTAAATCACATCAGAAAGTTTAAAGGAAGGATAGGAGGTTGTACTTATATCGCAAATAATGCAATAAAAAAAAGAAAAACCACCGATTCTGAGCACTTGGTTATTAAAAAGAAACAGGGGAGGCCACCAAAAAAAAATGATGTTAATGGACCTGAGTTTCCTGTACCTGTTCTTAAACCTGTTCCTAAAACTATTCCCCTTAGTCGTCCTTCAATACCAGAATTAATACCAATAGTCTTCAAGTCTGTCAAACCTACTACTGCAAAAAATAATATTTTACCATCTTTACGACAAATGTTAGTCGATGAAATTGAACCAGAATATCCTTGTACAATATGTGGTGAAACATTTCGTCATAATATTGCCCTTATATGTCATTTGGATACTGATCACAATAATGATACAACTAATAAAGAAGACCCAAATAAAGAAAAAAAATCATCAACAAAATTGGGTATAAAAAAGCAAATTATAAAAAAAAATCTTATAAATGAAAATAAGCAGATAGAAAATTATGAGCCCAAATCAGATACTGTTGATTTAACACTACTGCCAGATTTTAAAAAAGACAGCTTGATGAATAAAATGAAATCCTATGTATATAGTACAAACAAAAACCAAGCAATTTGTCTTTTATGCAATATAGACTTCAAGAATGCTAAAAAAGCATTATCTCATGTYGAAGATAAACATATATTGGATAAAATAGAATGTGGRTATTGTAATATGAAATTTGTGTATGAACTAAAACTAAGAAGTCATATGGCAAAAAGACATAAAATAATTGGTGTTTATAAATGTAATAAATGTTTAAAGATGATAAATAAAGAAGAATGTGATTCACATACTGAAAAATGTGAAGGAAAAGTGAACCCAATAATAATCAAAAGAGAAGATAAATCTAACAGCTTATAAATTAAAAATATATAGTAGTAAGTAAAATGTTAATCTATACCAAAGTAAAGACATTATAAAAAGTAATTATTTAAAATATATAGCCATAGTACTTGAGAAAAATTATAACTAAACACTAATGCTCTAATGCATCTAAGTCCAGCAGCATAAATTTCCCACATAATAATAAGTTCGTTCACAACTTATTGTTACCAAAAAAAAAAAAAGTAGAGCTAGTATATCCTCTTTTGGAACAGAATAATATATATTTATATGTATATAAAATATAAATACAGTGAAACCTTAGGGTAAAGTCCTAAGAGAAACTTTTATAATCATAATTATATACATATACTGTGTTGGATGAAAATTAAAAGTTTATTTAAGTTTTAAGGGAAGTAAAGTATGTAGTTAGTTGCTTAAAGTTTTCTTTTTTTTATTGAAAGTCAACATTTTAATYACGAAAACCTCAAATTAGAAATTCTATGAAAGTGAAAATAAAAGATAC